TTTAAATCAAATTTTCAAAAAAAAAAATAAAATAGAATTAGTTTTCAATAAATTTTAAATGTTGAACTTTAGTTATATATTCTCGATCAATTATTTATTTATTTATTTATTTATTTTTGTAGAAGTTTGAAGATGATGCAGAGTATAAAATTTTTTTTCTTAAAAAAAAAAAACTTGATAGTACACATATCGGCATTTATATTTACAGTAAATACATTTTTATATGAAATGAACGTTTCGACTTAAATTACAAGTTCGTTATTTAACATTTAAAATCTGATCTCCCTAAGTAAAATTCTCAGATCCGTCACTAGTTCAAAGAGTCCATTATGTATGTAAATTCTCCATTTTAATATGTCCATGCTTTATCCTGTTCTTCTGATATCAGTTGACATTTCGATTGTACATTATTAAAATTTTGTTTAATATATTCTTAGTTTTCCAATTAAAAAAAAAAAAAAGTACTTGTAGTCTTGGCCAGGAGCCCAACAACTAGCGAGCTCACATCACATGATTTGTCATCCCCCAAAATTCCATCACCCACCCTAATTTTGCTTCCCTCATTCCTCTCATTTTCCGCCTAATAAACATTTTTTCCCCTTATTACTTCAATTTTTTTCGTTTTCAAATACATATCCCTCTCTATATATTAATTCAAAACATGTTGAGTCTAGGTGACAAATTCTCACGCTTCAAATGCTGACATGACGAAAATCTATGCTTCGTGATGTTGTTTTTATATTATTTTTGCTCTGGAGTTAGGTTTGATATTAAACATAAATAACTTTATACATATATTCATTAACTCAACACTCATATTGTACATGGGTATTAATATTAGTTATTATTTAAAGAAAATTAATAATAAGAATAAATAAATAAATAAATAAATACACCTCCAACGCCAAACCATAATTGTACCTGCCAAGTACGCCTATCTGTACCTTCTCCATTGCCTTTCTGTGTCTGTGTTTGTGTTGTACCCTCCCTACATTTATTTATATATATATATCCCTCAAATACCTTTCCCAACCAACTCACCCCAATTGAATACATCAATCCTCACTTTCTCTCACTAAAACCATAAACGTCCCACCAATTATATTAATTAATTAGTTCTCTGTCATGAAGAAGCTGATGCGGAGGCTGTCGAGGGTCGCCGACTCCTCGATGCTGAGATCCGAGCGGAGGACGGCGGGCGGCGGGCGGGTGCCGGAGGGCCACCTGCCGGTGTACGTCGGGGAGGAGATGGAGAGATTCGTGGTGAGCGCGGAGCATTTGAACCACCCGATCTTCGTAAAGCTGCTGAACCGGTCGGCTCAGGAGTACGGCTACGAGCAGAGGGGCGTGCTCCGGATCCCCTGCCGCGTCTTCGTCTTCCGTCGCGTGCTCCACGCTCTCGGCGGGGCGCGTCGTGACGCGCAGGACCTGCTCGACTCCCTGGCCGATGAGTTGTAGCGGGTGTGGTTGGTGGAGGGATCCAAAACGACGTCGTGTCTGTTATTCTATAGGTGTCCGATTAGAATTAGAATTAAACACATATATAATGAAGATGATATATATATACTCTATATTTTATTTTATTTTATATTATGTTGTGAATTGGGCTTCTTCTCGTGTCTGTAAATACTTTGTGTGTTGTAGACGGGCAGAGTGGAGGAGTC